CTCACCGCAGCGGAGCCCACGCCGCCAGTGCCGGCGCCTGTGAAGGCCCGCACGCGCAGGAACAAGGGTCCCCGCGCTGCCCGGGGTGCGACCCGTGAGGATGGCGCGCCCGGAGAGGGTCCTCGTGAACGCACCATGGTCAACTTAACTGACGGCGGCGGTGGAGCAAATGGTGGTGGCAAAGGTGCCCCTCCGGCAGGGGCGGCTAACTCGGGCGCTGTGCATCACTGGCCGCCCTTCCAGGTCCTTAACTCTTGTCCCTGCAAGTGTTACTGCCGTCACCAACCACGTCATCGCCGCCTGCCACGAAACGTGTCTGCCTGGTGAGGGCAGATGGGGGAGTGATGGGGGAGGGCATATCTATCCACATCCTAAACCCCAGACCATCCAAGATTAAGCCCCACTCAGCCCTTGGCGTCCTGACCCCTCGGTGACCCTTGACCCTCCCTTGGCTGGATCTCAAGCCCAGCTAACCTTAAGACTTGGAGGAGTCCTGACCCTCTGCTGACCCCTAACAGGGAAAAGGGTACACTTTGGCCTAGCCGCTTGGTACCCCAACCCCCAAGCTGACCCTTGGCCTTCTGTTACTCTGGAGCCATCAGTGAAGAAAGCTGGTCCCGGCTGTCCCTGAGGGCACCAGAAGGGACTATGTCCCTCTTGCAGGGGGAGGGGAGAGAGGAATTAGGATTGTCTAACCAGGAAGGGAAGTAAACGCAGGCCTCTCTGGTGGTGTAGTGCCTAAGGCATTTGACTGTTAGCCAGGAGACTGACGGTTCAAACCTACCAGCCACTCCTTATGAGTCGGCATCGACTCAGTGGCAGTGAGCTTTGTTTTGGGAGCTCTGGTAGCATAGTGGTTAAGACACTTGCCTGCTAACCAGACAGCTGGCGGTTCATACCCACCAGCCACTCCTCGCAAGTAAGGTTAGGCAGTCCTACTTCCGTAGTGATACTGCCTCGGAAACCCAAGGAGGGGTCGCTATGAGTCGGATTTGACTCGACGGCACGTAACAACAACAACAACCAGGAAGGGAAGTAAACGCAGGCCTCTACGCTGGACACATGGGGAAGTCAGTTTCCTAGCCCGAAACCTGTTCTCTCTATAGCCGTTAGTATCTGTGACCACCAGAGGGCAGTCATGTCTCAGCACTTGAGACCTCAGACCCTGGGAAGACTCGGCATCCCTCAACGCCCCCCACCCTTTAGTCTCAGGACCTAACCGGCCCCTATGCACTCTGTATCAGGAGACCCTCTGGCCTGGACCACTTGGGGCCCCTCTGAGGCCTCTGGCAGGGAAACTACCGCCCACCCTCACCCTCTTTCCTAAGTGGATACAGCCCTGTTCTAAACTGCCCTAGGGATATTAAGATGGCCTTCAGAAACTTCCTTATCCACATGGGGAAACTGAAGTGCAGAGGGGGTGGGGGCCGGGCCACACAGCCAGGCCTAGCTGATTCTACCCTCCCCCTAGGCTGAGCACTCCCACCAACCACCTGAGCGAGCCACCATGGGTGGCCACCATCAAGCTGGCTGGCTCCTTGGTAGCAGGGCTGGACCACTACGACCACCCATTCCAGCTGAGTGCAGCAGGCTCCCAGCCCTCTGTGCTCTCCCCTCCCCACCAATAAAATAACCAATCGGGATGACTTGTTGTCCGTCAGTCACGTACTGAGGGTTGAAAGGAGGGGAAGGGGGCAGGCAGAGATCTCTATTAAAGCCAATCCTGGGGAGTAGACAGCAGACCCAGAGCATCCCAAGTGAGGGGTCCAGGGGTGTGGGGGTCTCATTCTCCTTAATCCCCTGGGTGGGGACCCATTTCTGACCTGACCTGATTGTCTGAAGCTTGGGAGTGCAAACCACACTTGGAAAGCCTGAGTTCCCACTGTCAAGTTGGGAGAACTGGCTCTGGGTGTTTCTTCAAAGCACCATGTCCCACACATGGCTCAGCCCGGTTTAGACCGTGCTTTGAAGGCTTTCCAGAACTTGGAGACAGGAAACAGAGGATAGAGGTTCTTAAGTCACCACACAAGCTCAAGACAGGTGGGAGTCAGGCAGGCCCGTGCCTTTCATGCCCCTGCGGTCCCACACTGCTAGTCCACAGATGCGTTTCATTTCTCATTGTCATTTTAAAAGCTAGTTTAATCCACTGCCAACATTTTAACAAGTGAGACATTTCACCCTTCTCTGAAATAATCTGGTGCCTGGGCCCGGCACTCCCATAGATGAATAGTCCCCCAACCCGCGCGGTCCCGTACTTTCCTGCAGGTGCCAGTCCCTGCAGGGATCTGTGTTTGACACCCTAGAGAATGAATGGCCACTGAACAGAGGCTGACCCTGAGGACAGGCATCCACCTGAGATCCCCACGGACCCCTGCAGTTCCAAGTTCTTCAGAGATTAGGCCCCATGGTGGGATCCCTCTCTCTTGCCATCCCACCCTGGGGAGACAAGGGTCTAGGAGAGAGACTGGCAATATACCTTTATTGGAGGAAACCCTGCACATGGCTACTTTAAATAGTGTACGCCATGCCCCACCCCACCCTGGTGCCCACTGTGTTCAGACGATCATCTCCAACTGCCGGGCGTACTCGATGACCTGCTTGGCCAGCTCCGTGGAGGGGATGGTGGTGTCTTCTGGCTTCTGCTGTTGGCTGGCAAAGCTGTAGTAGTTGCTGGGGCCCAGAACCCAACCTCGCTGTGGGAACGGAGAGATACGAGATGGGTGGGGTGATCTCAAAGGCACCCGCCCCACCCCATGGAGCCGGTACCTACCAACGTGGGCCCTCACTTTCCTCATCAACCCCACTCTACGCCCACAATTCCAGGCAAGTGACTTCACTGCTCCGTGCCTCAGTTTCTCCATCTGTAATATGGGGGCCCTAATCACAGCCCTCTTGGGTCTGCTACGAAGATTCAATCCACACTTCTAAAAGGCTGAGAACAGCACTGTGCCCAGAGCAAGCGACTGAAAAATACCAGCTTTTGCCATCATGCTAACTCAATTTCAACCCCTGCCAGTCTGTTCTTGACCCTTTTCTTGCCTACCTGGAGACCAGGGTCACTGCCCCCCAAGCATCAGCATCTCAGGGGGTGCTGTTTGAAAGCAAACACCCCAGACCAAATGAAGCAAAGTCTTATAGGAAAAACTGCAACTTCCAAGGGGTCTGGTTAAGACAACAGCCAGCATGTGCTGAACATCCACCCCTACCTGGTACTGTGCTAAGCTTATCCCATGTTGTTGTTGTTATGTGCTGTGGAGTCAGACCTGACTCATAGCGACCCCTCCTTGGGTTTCCGAGGCAGTTATCACTACAGAAGTAGATTGCCCAACCTTACTTCTGAGGAGTGGCTGGGGGGTTTGAACCGCCAGCCTTCTGGTTAACAGGCAAGTGCTTTAGGCACTATGCTACCAGAGCTCCTAAGCTTATCTCATAGGACAATCTTATTCTACAGATAGGGAAGCTAAAGCTCAGAGAGGTTCAGGAACTTCCCAAAGACACACAGCTGGATTTAAATGTGGGTGGTCTAAGTCCAGTGTCCCTCCAGGCTACTCCACACGGCTATTGGCAAAAGTACCCCTTGGCCCCCGGCCCCTTGCCCTGCACCCCAGCCACCTTCTTGGCGTAGTCTGTCATCTTTTTAGGTGTGTTGAAGAAGAGGATTCGAGTGGCTTCAGTGAAGAGAATTTTCTCGTAGGCCTTCTCAATGCACCCAGCAATTTCATCCCTGTGGAAAGATGATGACGTGCTCATTAGTGAGCAGACAACCTTCCAGGCCCTGTCCTCCCAGGCCTGTGAGCTGAGTCCTCAGCTCAGCAATGACGGAAAGAACCTGTTACACTAACCAGTTCAGAGAGGGGGAGTCACTTGACCAGAGTTACAAAGCAAGCAAGGTCACAATGGGAGATAGATCACTCTGACTCCCTGGCCCAACCTCAGAATCTCGTTCCCAGTCACAAGGACTCTAGGCTGTTGGGAAGCCAGTTGTGCGATTCACACGAGAGGACCTGTTCACCTAAAATCCCCCTGCCCTCCTTCAAAGGAGCTCTTTGTAGTAGTGCTTAGGTGTAGTGCCTAAGGCACTTGACTGCTAACCAGAAGGCTGACGGTTCAAACCTACCAGCCACTCCTTGAAAGGAAGACTGGGTAATCTACTTCCATAGAGATACCGGCTCAGAAACCCAAGGCGGAGTCACTGTGAGTGGGATCCGACTGGACGGCAGTTAGTTTGGGTTTGGTTGTTTTGCCCTCCTTCAAAGTCCCTGGATGGTGTGAATGGTTAACACACTTAGCTACCCAGAGAACCACGGAAGACAGGCTTAGGGATCTGCTCCTGAAAAATCAGCCACTGAGAGCCCCACTGTTCTGACGGGGGGCTGCCATGAAATGGAACGGACTCAGAAGCACTGTTCTGATGGGGGACGGCCATGAGACCGAATTGACTCAAGGGCAACTGCTGGTTTGGGGTTCCTTCTGCCCCTGTCAAGAGGCATCATGATCAGTGCAGAAGTAGAAAAATAACAAGGCATCAAGTCACTAAAACAGGGGAAGGGCTAGCCTGCAGGAAAATGACAGACGGGGGCGTGGGCTGGGGTAAAAGCAGGGTGGGTGGGTAACACTGCATTCGACCCTGAGATACCTCTCTTAGGCCAAGTGGCTGGTATACCAATGTTCATTATATCATTACAGTCATCTTAGCTGTAACATTTCATAATCAAAAAATACCTTAAACCATTAAACCGCCCCTCCTGACCCCCACCCATCACAGGCCTGGGCTTGGCCACCTAAGGAACAGAAGCCCATTTCAACCTGGTGCCAACCAGTCTGAGAGAGCCAGCTCTACCACCACCCGGACACCCTTCACTCCTCAAGGCATTTATTTGCATGCCAGGCCCACCTGCCCATGTGATGTTGCTTGTGCCCAAAGCACCGAGGGGCCAGCAGGGCTCAGTGGCCTCATTATAGAGAAAGTGAGAGGCCCAAAGATTAGGTCCAAACTCACTGCCATCAATTCGACTCATAACGACCTCTCCTTGGGTTTCCGAGGCAGTATCACTACGGAAGTAGATTGCTCAACCTTCCTTCCTTCCATTCCCAAAGGAGTGGCCGGGGGGTTTGAACCACCAGCCTTCTGGTTAGCAGTGAAATGCCTTAGGCACTACACTACCAGAGCTCCCCAGAGACTAGGTGACCCGACGGGAGAGGAGTGTCTGGGACAGGAGACAGAGCACTTCACGCAGAGGCAGCACGGTCCCTGTCTGCCGAGCGCTGTCTGGGCACCAAGCTCGCACTCAGGGTTGTACACGTGAGCACAGTATGAAGAGCCCAAGGCGAATGAAGGCGGTCACCCACGACCTCACGCCCAGTTCCAGCTCGCAGTGAAGGACAGCTGAAGTGCCCGGAGGGTAAGGAACGCACCCAGCCTCCCCCAGGTTGCGAGGAGCCAGGATGAGATTCAAAGGCAAGACTGACTGACTCGAGTCCAAGATGTCTCGGCAGCCCAAAGGCTCCGGCTTCCCACGCACCGGATAGTGTCAAGCAGGATGTCGATGAAGAAGGTGTAGCTCTCGGCGGGGATGTTGCCCTTGGCCAGGAACACCTTGTTGTAGCTGCCCTCCATGAGGTACTGCACAGGCCGGGGGTGAGGAAGAAGAGGGCATGAGGGAAAGACAGCACGGAGTACCCACTCAGGCCTCACCATACTCCCCACTCGACCAGACCACCCTCTGCCATAATGCCACCACCCATGCAGACTGGCACCTCATCTTCCAGAAGTCCTCCCACTTTTTCTCTTTCTCCAAGCCTGCTCTGGGCTCACCTACTGTCCAATCACAGGAAGAAGACACAGCGGGATCAGCGCAGGCTCATTCCTTCTTATCTTTGCCCAAGCTGTGCCGCCTGCTAGAACCACCCTCTCTCCCCAAAGGCAGATCCTCCAACGGCACTCCAGCTGTAGGCACCATCCCTGGTCCTAGGTCCTGAGGCTCTTCCCTGGCCCTGCTCACCCTGTTCCACCAACACTGTCCTCTTTGCTGTCCCTCAAACACACAGGCCTGTTTCTGCCCCAGGATCCCCCTACCTGGATCATCTCTCCCCCAGATGACCACATGGGTCAGTTCCCCCCCCCTTTTCAAGTCCTCCTCAAATGTCATCTTCGCCAGGAGGCCTGCCCTGAGCACGCACTATGAAATTTCACCCCTGCCCCACCTCTCCACCTCCTCCCTGCTTTCTTTTCCTCTCCACACTTATCAACGTCAGACAGATGCGGACAGGCTGCTCATTCATTTTGTTCACTGTCTGCTTGCTCACTAGGATGCCAGCCTCACCGATGAGAGATCTTATCTGCTTGGTTCACTTCACAGTCTCCAAACTTACCACAGCGCCTGACACAGACCAGGGACTCAATATTTGTTGGACAAATGAGTGAATGAGTCCAAGGGTGGAAAGATGGATGAACCCTGTTCACTCCTCCAGGAAACCCTCCGAGACCTGCCCCTGCACCACGCACGTCGGCCAGGCCCCCTCCGCCTCGCCCCTTCCCAGCCACAGTCTCACCTGTTCTAGAGACACAGGGTGCTTGATGTAGACATTGGTTTGGATGTCCTTGGCAGGTAGCCGTTCCAACTCTGTGTGAAACTCAGCTACCCGGTTCTGGGACAGCAGGAAGAGGAGGTTGAGGCCCAAGAGCTGGTGCATGTAGGCTGACTCAGGGAGCTGCTCCCTGTGGACCAGGGTGGGAGAGGCAAGGGGAGGAGTGCTCAGCGACCTACCAAGCTTCCCACCCCAGGCTCCTGGGATGCCCACAACTGCCTTGTGCTGACTCCTTGCAAGAGTTTCAGGTCCTGGGTTTTCTGATGAGGAAACTGAGGCCCAAAGAGGTCACTGACAAATCAAATGGCCCTGAGCAAGTAACCTCACTCCAGGAAATGAACTCAGCCTCAGTTTCCTCAACTGTAAAATGGGATTCACCACAGTATCCACCTCATAGAGATGGGTTCAATGAATTAGGGTTAAGTGATTTAAACAATTTAACCCAAGTAAAGTGATTAGAACAGTACTCAGCCCGAAGAAACACTATTGTTAGCTAAGATTATGATTTATTAAGGATTATCATCACCCCCACTTAAAGAGGAGACCGAGGCTGAAAGAGGTGAAGTCATCTGCCCAAGGCCACGTAACAGGAAGTGAAAAATTCAGTTTCCAACCCAGGTTTGTCTGACTTCTGATGTCAAACTTTATTAATTCATGCCTTCAGTTTTAGATTCAACATACAACCAGTGAGCCCCTGCTCTTGGCCTAGCCCTTGGGTAGGTTGTGTTGGGGACATAGCAATGACTAAGACAGCCCCAGGCTCTGCCTTTAGGAGGTTCACGGCCCTGTGGGAGAAACAGGGCTGGGACGGAGGAGGCACAGGCAGAGGGGATGGGGCTCAGATGGCACTGGAGGACACAGGAAAGAGCTTGGTCTGGACCCTGAAGGCCATTGTGAGAAGGGGAGCAACAAGATCAGAGTTTAGATCTTCCTGGATGGGGGGGATATGGGGGGACACATCAGGGGAGCCAAGCCTGGGGCCAGGGCAGATGAAAGGCAGTAAGGTGTCAGAATGGGGAGGGACAGACAGATTGGACCCCAGCCCCAGGACCTCCAGGTCAACTCCTTGACCCCACAGCCTCTGGGGGTCAGAACCAGGCGGGGGGGTCCCCAGTTAAAGAAGAATGACAAGTGGCTGGAGCACCAGGTGGAATACAATTACCACATAACTCCCCTTCCAACTGGGGGCAGGGCCCAGCCTCACTTGTAGTCGAAGTAGTAGCATTTGAGCTGGGCCATGTAGCGCTCGAAGGAGGGGATGTCCTTGCGAAGGATGCTCCACTGGGCCCCGATCTCCAATATATCACCTGTGGGTGACAGGGTGGGTGCTCAGGAGGTGACTTTGGTTCCTCCCCACCACCACTGCTGCTACTCCTGCCATGCACCCCAGCCCACCGCCCTTCCTGAACCCCAGTGACACTCACGGGCCAGAATGAGCTGCTGTTTAGTCAGCTTGGTCCCTGTGGTTGGCAGGAAGTTGAGCTCCAGCAAAACCAGCTGACGGGGAGGGGAGGGAAGGAAGGAAAGTAAGTTGGTACTGACCTTTTGTTGTTGTTGTTGTTGTTATTTGCCGTCGAGTCAGCCCCGACTCATAGCGACCCCTCCTTGGGTTTCCGAGGCAGTATCACTACAGAAGTAGGATTGCCCAACCTTCCCTCCGAGGAGTGGCTGGTGGGTTTGAACCGCTAGCCTTCTGATGAGCAGTCAAGTGCCTTAGGCACTATGCTACCAGAGCTCCCTTTTGTAGGCCTCTGTTTTTCCACCTGGAAATGTGGGAGCTAAAAATCATTGCTCCTGATTCATGAGGTTGTTGTGGTGAACAAGAAAGGAGTCAGCCCTCATTAAAACACCCAGAACAGGGCTTGGACACACAGTGACAACTCATTTAGGATCCCTTCACATTACAAATATTAATAGCTGCACTGGGGAGACAGGAAAGACATCCAGGGCCTGACCCCAAGGGAATCACATGGGTGAGAGGCACCGGGATTCAGTTTTTGGCAGACCACCCCCACACTCTATTGGGTTGGGCTCAACCACCCTCTCCCCACGTCTCCGAGGGAGAGGTACTAGCCTCTCCTGACACAGTCCTGCAAACACACCACTGCTTATCGGACACACTCCATTAGCGACTTGGTCTGAAGTACACTGAGTCCCTTCCGGGACTCTACCAATAAAGAGTATTTCTTCTAGATGCATTGCTGTTCCCTACAACTTGGCTGGTCCCTTCCCTCCACAAAAGCATCCCTAAACCCCAGGCGTCTCTGGCCTTAACTTGGACTGGACTTTACCACACACACTCCCCAACACACACACACACCCCCCAACACACACACAACACACACACACAACACACACACACTCCACACACACACACACTCCCAACACACACACACTTCCCAACACACACACACTTCCCAACACACACTCCCGAACACACACACACACACCCCTCTCCAAACACCGTCTTAGGCTCATTCCTTCATCAGTTTTTTTATCACCCAGGACTTCAGTCTATCTCTGGATCCAGCCAAGCCTCGAAACCCCACTCCGGCCAGCTAAGTCTCCAGTACCAAGTTCTCCACCCCTCACTCGTTATGCCACAAGCCCTTTCCATCAACCCTCTCCGTGCCCACGCACGTGGTCTGTCCCGAATCCCTCGCCCTATCAGATCCCCCAGTGCGTCTTGGTCGGTCCGGTCTAAGCTCCTCTTTACGAGCCCCTCGCCGGCACTAGGTTTCGCGGGCCCGCCGACTCCTACCTTAAGGCGGCCTAGCTCTTCCCCGCACTTGCTCAGGTTGGGGCTTTTACGGTTCCATTCACCCTTGAGCTGTTCGTACATGCCGGCCGCGACCTGCAGTACGGCGCCGGAGGCCGCCGCGGACCCCGAGCTCGAGACGCC